CAAGAGATAGGCGGCCGCCGTCCAGGACGAGAGGGGGACAAAAAAATATGTACAAGGGCACATCATTTTGAGTAGGTGGTGAATTTCTTTCATGTACACTAACATCCTCGGGCCTTACATGTCTTTGCTGTCTACCATGACCGGGGCTGCCCTACACCTCGCTTTGCCCCGGTTTTTCTTGCACTTCAACCGTCAAATTGGCTTCTTCCCCTTCTGTCCCATTTTTGTTCTTCATCTTGACGTCGAAGAACCTCAGATCTCTCTCCTGCTTGAGCCCGGGAACACGCTCTTTCTCCGCCCGTCGCGGCGCATCCTGAAACACCTCCTTCCCCTCGGTCAAGACCTGGGCCAGGACGTAGGCGCTGGTGGCAGCTCCAAGGAAAAAGGGGAAGCGGGCCAGAAATGTATCATCCAGCCCCGTAGCCTCGGTGAAAGATACCAATAAAGGGTTCACTACCCCCGCCACCAGCACGGCCGCCACGGCAGCTGCCACATCGGGTGCCTCCGTGGGGCGAGACAGATAGAGAAACCCCAAAAAGGCCGCAGGATACACGGGGTTGCCAAGAGTAAGGGCTACACCCATGGACAGAGGAAACCAGCCCATAATTGTTGTCGTGGAGGATGAAACTGAGGAAGTGACCCGGCCCACGTCGCCGGCACGGGGGGGCACTAGGAAGGAGGGCACTGGAACCTCCTTGCTCAAGGCTTTGGCCACTTGAGTAAGCAGCGATATAGAGCGGTCCGTGAGATCGTCCCCGTCATCCTCTTTATAGGCACTTAGGCGACTCAAAAGTCGTGGATGGAATTTACTTGAAGCCGTAATGCAAGGGAGGGGGCGGCTACGGAGAACACCGTTCGGGTGATACGAAGTAAGGAAGGCGCGTGTGACGCATGCCGCATTCAAAAGAAGAGATACACCAACGAGAACTCCCGCTTTCATGGTCGTGCATAAGTTTTCCTGTTTTTTTATTAACATACATCCACATGGACAGGGGTTAAGCAGGGCACATTCTGGGGAATCAGAACACAGTTGAGGTAGGGCGGCCAAGCCGCTTTAGGCGACACGACGCAAAGGAGAGATATTCGGGTCGAGTCGTGGCACTCGGGGTTCAATATGACCAATGTCCGCCTCTCAACCAAGGCCCCGTTGCTTGATTGACAATAGGGTATTGTCTTCATAAAATCATGTGGTTCTGGCTTTTTTTCAACCTTTTGGAGGGTTTGTGCCGTGGATTTGGCAGGGTTGCGGCCCGCGAATTACATCGGTAGGGCTTGGGGGAAAATCCGGAGTCACGCCTCCGCACCATGTGGTCGCGAATCCTTGTGAAAATCCCAGCTATCGTGCGGATGTGTGGCCCGCGCACAACATTTCAGGATCGGAGATATTATTCTGTAAGAGGGCGTGGTATGCGAGACCCGTGTCGCTGCCACGTGTCTGGCATCCACTAGACGTGCGTGTCGTCTCGTCAAGCGCTCGGCGATACCGTATGGACCACACATGTTTACACCGAATGAGGAAAAAATAGCTAACGAAGGCATCAAATGCAGCCTTACTCACGCAGATAATTTCCATAACGTATGTCCAGATGACACGAGCGGTTATATTGATACCGTCGGCCCTTGCGTGTCGACAGCACTCACCGTACCGACGAGCGATAGAAGCGGCCTTGATAGCACAGTTCAAGTCGAGTAGTGGCGCCAACACGCTTACATGGCAGTGGCGAGAACCAGTTTATCAAACAACTTGTGTATCTGCTTATGACGATCGACCAGGCTGCAATGGTGGTCCGGGAGGCTTTGCCAATGGTATGAAGATGGGCAGCCTGCAGGCCCAGGCCCAAGCCTTGCTGAAGTCGGACCCCGACCTTGATTTCGTCTTGATTCCTGGATTAGAGGCCCCATATCAAGCCAGGTATCTGACGCGGGTTTTCCGCACGGGAATGGATGATTCCAGCACCGACGGGAAGGGCAAAAAAATGAAGCGAGCTGCGCCCTCCGCCTCGGCCGGCGTTTCCTCGATCATTCACGTCACGACCCTACGCCTCGCCCCCGCGGAGCGCACCTATGCAACGGCAGCCGCACTTTGCCGACACTTTGGCTGGAGCAATGTGGTACTCTTGAGCTCGGATGATGATCGCATGCAATCTGCGCAGGGATTACGTCAACAGTTGACCGCCGCAGGCATCCATATCCGCCGTCATCAAATATTTTCTCCTTCCCACACCTACCAAGGTGCAGCAAGCTCCGCCTCCTCCTCATCCATCCTTTCACATGATCTAGATGCAATCCGCACTAGTGGAACTCGTATAGTCTTCCTCCTTTCCTCCTGTCGAGCCACTCACCAGGTTCTGAGCGCGGCGCGACAAAAGAAGATGCTAAGGGATTACGCCTGGGTAGTCCTGCATCCGAATTCTGCGTGCGCCTTGGATGACGCGCCAAGCGGTTTTCACGATGCAGATGTCTCGGAGGAAGGGGAGTTGGCGCTCTTGGAGATGTACCAAGGTGTGTTGGGCCTGGTCTGGGACGGCGCGACGGCCGCGAACGGCGCGGCGTGGTCCTCCACCGGCAAGACAAGCAATTCGTCGGACATTTCCTCGCAGGCTGCCGGTGCTCTGAGCGACTTTTGTAGAGGCAGCGATAGCCACGCATACGACGCCAGTGGCCCTCTAAGCGAGCGGGAGCCGGCGGGTGCCCCGGCGGATGTGCTGGACCTGTCCCCTCGCTTCCTCTTCGAGACCATGCGACACTTGGCATCTCTTTCCTCCACGCCCTCGGCCAATCCCTCCCCTGCGTCTTCGTCCCATCCTGTTGGTGAGGTCATGCGTGACACGGTGGGGGGCAGTGACATGGACGGAGACGTGGTGCTGCACCCGGACCTAGCCGTATCGGTTTTGAGCTTCTCGGGCGCGCGGCGGGCGTCATGGGAGGCCTCAGGGGGTAAACCTGCCTCCAACGACACTCACGGTGTGAGTGAGAGCGCGAGCCGGGGTAAAAGACGTCGGGGGAGCAACAGCACCGCCAACAAGGACCCGGTACGGATTGAGGTCATCCATCAGCCTATCGCCCGCTTGGCTCTATCCCCCCATGGCATCGATCCGTCATCCTCCGCCCCTGCAGATCCCTTGGACAGTCTGGGACGCCTGGAGCTTTTGACGGCACGGCCCCTCCGGTGGCCTGGGGATGTGCGAGCGCAGCCGCGAGACCTGGTGGAGGGGTGGGGTACGCAAGGGGAGGGGCCCGACTTCCTCTTCTCTCCCACGGCGGGGCGGGACATGCAGGGCCTGGTCCATGGCCTTGGGCTCTGGTCGGTGATTTTTGGGATGGCCGCGATGTGCATTGCCCTGACGCCCTTGTGGAACTGGGTGTACAAGCGCCTGTTCAAGCGCAAAGAGCTGTCTCCTCCCTGTCTGGACGGGGGCTGCGCACCCATCCCTGCCATCAGCGAGGTGAAGGACGCGGCCAGCCAGGAGGAAGACCGCGCCTTCATTGCCACACGCATGGCGGAGCTCACCGAAAAGCAAGCGGAGCTCCTTCGATCCGTGGAGGTGGACATGAAAGACGTGGTAATGAAGCGGCGCGGGGGGGGCATCGGCCAGGGATCCTTCTCTATTGTGTACAAGGGATACTACCAGAACTCGCACGTGGCGATCAAGGTGCTGCGACGGGTGGATGAACGAAATTTCCGGCGGTTCTTGGAGGAGATTATGCTGCACAAAGATCTGCGGCACCCCAATGTGGTCATGTTCCGGGGAGCGTCGTGGCGAGACGGGCGGTTGCTGATGCTGATCGATTACGCGGGTCGTGGGACATTGGCGGACGTGCTGCGACGTTCTAAAGGCACTTTGAGGTGGAAACCTGTCAAGCTTAACATGGCCCTCGGGATTGCCAAGGGCATGGCATTCTTGCACCAGACGCGGTATTACGACATGTGGACGTCGTCCTATCAACGCTGTGTGGTTCATCGGGATCTGAAGCCTCAGAACATACTTGTCACAGACTCTTACCACGTCCAGATTACCGACTTCGGAGAGGCCCGCACCGTCGACCACGAGAACACCATGACCCAAGTGGGCACACAGCTTTTTGTGGCTCCGGAGGTGGTCCGGGGCGAGCGCTATTCCGAGAAATGCGACGTCTACTCCTTTGCGGTCGTCCTCCTTGCCATGCTCGAGCTTCGGCCGGATGTCTTGGACGTTTTTGCGGAGTCTTTGTCAGAGGTAGAGCGAAGCGAAACGGGTATTACGAAGGAGCGACTGAAGGAACCGGAAGGCGTGGAGGTCACGGACGCTTGTAAAACCTGCCCGCTCAACAAGGCCAATCAGCCACCGCCCGGGGTCTCCTTGGCGCAGGCTCAGGCGGCGGCCTCCACGCCCGAACACGAATGCCCTCTGGCGCAGCATAAGGAGTTCAAGGGGGTAGTGGCTCATGCCGTGACACGTGCAATTGTCTATGATGACTTCCGGCCCCCTATTAAAGGTTGCCCGTATCAGGGTTTAAAAACACTGATAGAAAAGTGCTGGATTCCCGATGTTAACGACCGTCCTGGTTTCGCGGCAGTCGTCGAGGCTTTGGACGGGCGCGTCCGCCGGGAAGTAAGCGACTACGTCCGCCCTAATGGCGGCAGCACTAGCAGCCATTCAACGGGCTCTACCTCTTGCTTTACTTCTGGGAGTATAGATCACATGATGGTCCGAGACGGGTCTCGGCAAGGATTTCGCGTGGCAAGTGGGGATGTAGCACGTTTACGTGCTCCACATGGCACAAATACATGAGCGAAGGCGCTTATTGAGGCTGATAATGATGGTGATGTGTTCAAACTATGTTGAAAACAAGTGAAGAGCGATTGTTAAGCAATTAATTTTGACAGTTGAATCCTCCCTAATGGTGGGAGTGTTATACCGAAGACATTTGTACAGGGGAAAAGTTTTTTCGACAACCAAAAACGTGGCACGAAAACATGAGGGCTTGATGGTCGTATACAACGGTATTTATTTCCTCGCCTACAGTGCATGAAAGTTGGTTGGACCAAGTAGAGGGGGGTAGGGAGGTTAATGTGACGCAATCAGGAAGCTTCGTAGTTTGTCCTGGTAACTTGCCTATATGCCATCCATTCGGTCGGATTTAATTTCTACGTTCATCTTATAGTAGTCACGCTGGCTGAGATAACTTCGTGCAATTTAGCAGTCAATACTCGTTTCAATGCCGCCAAAACAGAAGGTACGTGCTCCCACAACTTCAGGGGTGATGCGCACCGACCGACCTCCCTTTACTTCCTTCAAAAACACGAATAGAAGTCAAGCGCAGCGACTTTTCCTGGCAAAGCGATAAATGTGGGTTTAAAACAAAAAGGTCAGGATGCTATCCTTGCCGTGGTTAAGGAGCAGTTCGGAAAGAAGGGCAATCTGACTGCCTCGTCGACCGACCTAGGGTCAAAGCGTCTCGCCAAGAAATTAGAGAGCTTGTACGAGCAGCTTGTGACGATTGGCTTTCAAGAGAGAAATGTCGAGCAGGCCTTGAGTGTATGTACGCTCAGAAGTGGCGAGAGCCTCTCTCTAGAGGGGGTGCTTGACTGGTTATGCCTCCATCTGGGGCCTGAAGAGCTCCCAGCCCAATTTGCGGACCCCAGCACTCAGGAGCTTAAAAACACCCGCGGCAACCTTGGCGTAGGACACGCAGGAGCTGTGGTCTCTGAGGAAGAACGCTTGGCCCGGATAGCAGCGCGACAGGAGCAGGCCGACGACCCAAAGTACCGGGCTTTGAGGCGCGAGGACATCGTCAGCGAGCAAGTCGAGGAGTCGCACGACGGGCATGTCAAGCAATGGATTCTGCAGTACTCAAAGCGCGAATCTGAGGCTGAAATAGCTCGAAAGACAGAAGCTCGACCTCAAAATTCCGCGAAAGAACGGTGGGACGCATTACCACCTGAGGAACAATTGGCTTTGCTAAAAGACAGCTACGAGGAGGAGAAGCTGAAAGCCAAGGAGGCTAAGGACAGCGGGCGTATGGGGCGCCGCGAGAAAGCTGAGATGGAGGCTCGTCTCAAGGATATTCGAGAGCAAATGTCGGAATTGAATATTGTGGTGGGGCAGCGGAGGCGAGAGATGAAGCCACTGAAGGAGGGGTGGCAGTCAAATGGCTCTGGGAGGGACACTGACCGGGGGGAAACAGGAGGGGGGAGGTGCGCTCTGAAAGGAAAAAAGGAGCAAGAGGAGAGCACGGACTTAGACGAATGTCTGACGGGTATGTTTGGGGACGAAGAGGATGAGGAGGAAATGGAGGACAAGGGAGTAGACCGAAGCAGCCTCTCTGGACCTGGTTCCTCGACACAAGCGCTCGCCAAGCACAAGGAAATAACTGAGCGGTCGGTACTTGGCGGGCTATTCGGCGACGACGATGACAGTGACGATACAGACGGGAGCGAAGGTGCACAGAAGGGCCGATTCTCCCGGTCCACACGGTCCTCTCCCCCTCCCCGCGAGACAGCTGAAGACAGCCTGCCCGCTCTGTGTTCCCTCGCCCCTCCCTCGCCAGACCGCGCCGTACCTGGAGTTGCGGTAGAAGCGTCGTCCAAAACGGTTCCGCCCACAACTCCGCAACCGCAATCGGTGGCTCCTGACTCAAGCCCAGCGCCTGCACTGGCCGTATCCTTGGCGGCGGGCATCCCCAAGGGCTGGACTGGCAAGACACCGCGGCGGCAGCTGGAGGAGTACCTGAAACGGAAACGTCTGGGCAAGGCTACCTTCCAAAAAACGCCGGGGAAAGGCTGCGTGCTCACCCTGCGAGACATTTCGGGAAAATTCGAATCGGTCCAGGAGTTCGGGGCCTACGCCGACGCCGAGCACGCGGCCGCCACGCGCGCGCTCTACCGCCTAGAACCGAAGCTACAACTGTCGCGCGTCTTGCCCCCTCCGTTCCGGGACTGGTGGGCGGAATGGCAGAACGAGGCCCGAAGGCTGCGCGAGCAAGAGGTGGCGGCGGTCAAGCAGGGGAAGAGAGACCGCATCTCCCGACTTGTTGACTCCATGAGGGAAGGGGCTGCGCTGTCAGCGGAGGAAGAGAGAACAGGCGATGTGCGTCAAGGCGACGATCACTGCCACGTGAGGGACAGTCCAGGGGTCCTTGCTCTTCCCAGCATGTCGGACATGAGTTGGGAGGAGCAAGTATGCCTGGATGAAGGCATGGTGGAGGCCGAGGGGGGAGAACGCGGGGCGCCGACGAGGGGCACCGGAAGTCAACGGGAGAAGACGGGCGGTCCAAGGGGGGATACCGCGTTGGGAGAAAGACTCCGAAAGGCCTTCGAGGCGAAGAGGGGGCAAGCCAGATACCAGGAGCTTGCGCGCGTACGACGGGAACTCCCAGTGGCTGCGACACGCGAAAGTATCTTGCATAGCATCGAAAAGGAGTCCGTGGTCGTCATCTCGGGGGAGACTGGCTGCGGGAAGAGCACCCAGGTCGCCCAATATATCCTGGAGGAAGCGTTGCTGCTTGGAAAGGGTCACAACGTCAATCTTGTCTGTACACAGCCCCGTCGGGTGGCAGCCGTGTCCCTCGCAGAGAGAGTAGCGCAAGAGATGGGCGAAGAAGGCGGAGCTGGAGGCCCCGGAGCATTGGTCGGGTATCAGATACGGATGGAGTCGAAGACAACTGCTGCTACACGGCTGACCTTTTGCACCACTGGCATTTTGCTTCGAAAGCTGCAGACAGATCCAGACTTGAGTCAATACACGCATATCATATTGGACGAGGTGCACGAGCGTCAGGCATTGGGAGACTTTCTTTTGGTGGTCCTCCGCGACCTCCTGAAACGGCGGCCGACCCTGCGTCTGGTCCTCATGTCTGCAACCGTGAATGCCGACTTGTTCAGTTGGTACTTCGGTAATTGTCCGGTGTTTACAATCCCTGGGCGTTGTTTTTCTGTGCAAGAGCAATATTTAGAGGATACTATAGAGGCAACAGGGCACTTTATTGAAGAGGGCTCGGTGTATGCGCTAAAGGAAGGCCGGGCGCAGTACCAACGGGCGACAGTGGAGGTGTCGGGCCGGGGTGGGAATACTTATTCGCAGGCGTTGGAATGGCAAGAAGATGACGCGGTGACGGAAGGGCGGCGCGGATCGCGATGGGTGGCATTCATGGAAGAATGTCGAGAGGCCGGTTACAGTAAAGCCACGCTCAAATCCATGGGACGCGTGGACGAGTCAGTGGTCAATTACGAGCTTTTGGAAGATCTCCTGCGCTACATCGTGGAAGTTGAGCCTGCAAAGGTCGCGAAGGGCGAATCTGGCTGGAGGACAGGCGGTGCTATCTTGGTTTTTTTGCCGGGGCTGGGCGAGATCCGAGGAATACTCGAACGCTTGCGCGGAGGTCGCTTTTTCCGCGATGACAATCAATACTGGCTTCTTCCTCTACACTCCACCCTCTCCCCTGCAGAACAACGGAAAGTGTTCGAGCGCCCACGCCACGGCGTGCGAAAGGTCATACTCTCCACCAACATCGCCGAGACCTCCGTGACGGTCGACGACGTCGTGTACGTGGTGGATTGTGGACTAGTCCGAGAGATCCAACAGACGAAAGGCCGCGGGGGTGGAAGGGCGCTTGTCACAACCTGGTGCTGTCGGGCCAGCGCCAAACAACGGATGGGACGTGCAGGGCGAGTGGGTCCTGGGGTGTGCTTTCGTTTGTTCTCCCGCCATACGTTTCGAACTCTCATGTCTGAATTCGCCGTTCCTGAGCTACAGCGCACGCCTTTAGAGGAGCTCTGCCTGCAGATTCGGGCGAACGATCTCGCTCCCTCGTGTCGTGAATTTTTGCTCAAGGCTCCCGAGCCGCCTGAGTTGGTGGCTATCGATGCGGCGGTCCGTGTGCTACGCGAAGTCGGGGCGCTGGCGTCTGCAGAGGATGGAGCGGAGGGACGCGGACAGCAGAAACGAAAGGGAGGGGATAACGGACGATGCCTGGAAGGAGAGGAAGGAATCCTCACACCGCTGGGCATTCATTTGGCCAAGTTGCCAATGGACGTGCGTCTGGGGAAAATGCTTGTCTTTGCATCCCTTTTCCAATGCCTTGATCCTGTCCTTACTGTCGCCGCCGGTCTGAGCGGCATCAAGTCTCCATTCCTCGCGCCCTTTGGAAAAGAGGCCGAAGCGCGTGCGATGCATGCCAAACTTGAAGTCCGACAAAGCGATTTCTTGACGCTGGTGAACACATTTCAAGCCTATCGATCGGCTTGCCTGCAGGGGGGAGCTGCAGAAGAGCATAAATTTTGTTCCAATCACTTCCTGAGCAAAATTGCATTACGGGAGATGGCAAGCTTGAAGAGTCAGTTTTTCGGCCTGCTGGTGGACATGCAGTTGGTGCGCAAGCCTCCATGTCTCGGCCCGCAAGGGGGTGGCACGGTCAGCTACCGGGCTTTGGAGGATTTCATGGCCGGTCCGGAGGCTTTGCGGAAGGGTGGTGGAGTCAACGCTGAGGCCCAGAACATAAATCTCGTCCTGGCAGTGGTGGGAGCGGGATTGTATCCGCATGTTGCCCATGCTGTGGCAGATCCTTCCAAGAAAAATCCAAGCCTTTACCATGGGCCCATGAGCGCCCCATCGAGCCCTGTCTACTTGCATCCCAGCTCGGTCAATTATGGTGTAACATATTTCACCTCACCTTGGCTCGTATTTCACGAGAAATTTCACACCACTCGGGCTTACATTGCCCCTACGTCGGTGGTGTCTCCCTATGCTCTTCTGCTTTTTGGAGGGCCTTTGGTCGTTGATCACTTAAATAATCGAGTGGTCATCGATGAGTGGATCGAGTTTACCTGTCCTGCTCGCACTGCGGTGCTCTTTCGAGAAATGAGAAAACGCCTTGATGAGGTTTTAGAAGTCTTAGTTGCAAAACCCTTGGCGGGTTTGGCGAATGTAGAGAGTCAGAAGGAGGGTGCGGTGGTCGATGCCATTGCCTCGCTACTCAGGGGTGAGGAGATTAAGGCTGCCTGGAAACCTGGAAGTGGTGATGACCCAATGAACAAAGGATAGAGCAGCCATAACAAACGAAACATGTAGAGTAGAGCGCCACCTTAGCGCGCGGTGTACACTGAGGGCTGGAGTTGGACTTGAGCACAACGGAGGGTAATCAATACTGAATTGCAAAGAATATGCGAATTGTAACAGAGACTTCGCACTGACGGGCTAGTAGCCCCTTTAATTCTAGTCCTTTCTTGTCGACATAATGACTGTACAAGTGATTGGCTGTAAATCTCAAGATACATTTAATTGCAGTCCACCCCATTTTAAATTACTCATCGCCCTTGCCGGTCTCTTGAATGGCTCCTGTTGAATATATTCGTATCGGAGCTCCCGCTCAGACAAACGTGTCTCCACCACCTTCAATAGGGCGCCATAGGCAGGAAACCAAGATTGATGCCCCTGTTGCATCACCCACCTACGAAAGCTGCGCATCAGAGTCCATGCATCGCTGTCACGATCGTCATCGAGCAGCTCGAGGAGGTAGACAGACAGCAATTGCATGTGAGCCGTTGCGGGGGGACGGGCAACACCTTCCTCCACGGTCCCGACCCGCCCTAGCCAATCGATCAAGGCACGCCTAACATCGTGGATGTCTTCACATACGAAAAGCCGTGGACGACCATAGACCTCAGGAGACTCGGTTGGCGGGACGCTGCGGTCATTCTCCTCGTCCTCAACTTCGAAGACCGTCCTCGGATGCCTGCCTGAGGTCGGGCATGGGTGTCCCCTTGTGGACACACGCGGGGAGCGAGATGAAAATGACAGAAAAGAATCATTGCTGTCCTCCTCCTTCGAACCCAAGCCCACATTCGTGCGTTTATGCCGATCGAGTTCTGCCAGGGTTTCGGTGCGGAGAGACACGGGAAGCTGGGCCAGAAACGCCGCGTCCTGGTCAGACAAACCCCTGAGTTGTAGCCCGTTGCTGTCGTAGGCTGGAATCTTCATCTGTCTCATGGCGCGACGATCGCGCTGGGATGGGCTGTGGGTAGCACGAGTCAGCCCGGGAGCATTTGAAGCCTTGCCTTTTGCCCTCTCGCCGTGGGCATCGTGGTTTGTGCTGCCTCCTGCTGTGTCCAGATGAACGCCATTCCTACGGCACATGTTGAAAGATTTACGGCGCACAGCCGCGCGTACCTCGTCTTGTAACTCCCGAGGCAATGCCTGAAAGGTGGTCTCATCGATCTGACTCATGCTGACGTCCCAGTGCTGGAGAGAGGAATCAGCATCGTCTTGACGCTTCTCCTCGCCTTCGCTTTGACGACGATCACCATGCTGCTGTTCAATAGGTTTTGACTGTTGCCGTTCTTTTTGTTGCCGCAAATGTTGTTCCAGCTCCAGACGCATCGGAGATGGCAACTCTGGTAAGACTGAGAGATCGATTTGAGAGGGCGGTGGTAAATCGTGCTCTTGCACAAGGGTGGACAGGCCATCGCCTTCCAGCTCCTCACAGCCTGGCGCGAAGATTCGCCCCGGACAAGGTCCCTCTTCTTCGATTCGCCATGCATCGTGGCCCCCCTTTTCAGCCTCCTCTTCTTCACCGACCACGACCAAGTCATGTGGCTCTTTACTTTGCCCTTGTTTGCTTGCGCTCACCGCGCAGCCGTCTTCTTCGAAACCACGGGAGCCTACGCCACTGAGATCATCCGTCTTCTGAAGCCAGGCCTGCATACTTCCAGCGC